CCCTCCCTCCCTCACCTTTTAAATTGTCTGGTTCTCTTATGTCGCAGGCACTCTTAATTGATAGTTTCGATCTCGTACTCCCGCAGATGATCTTCTCGCTGACATCAGGGTCAGCCATGCATTCGGTTTCACTCAGCATTCTCCTTCCATTGAGGATCGGCCCGCAGCATCTTTTGTACATGTATCTCTCTCCTGAAATCTGAGAGGGGGTTGGAAATTCCTTCAGGGGAAACCTGAGGAACTTTGATTCAGAATTCCAGCAACTGAAAAAGATTAAATATTAAGAGTGCTTGAAATGTACAGGTGATTGAGTATATAGATAGACTTTTCTATATGTTGAATTATAATGAAAGTCCAACATATAACCTGTCGAGAAGGTGCGATGAGACCGGGCTCAGCGCCACGTCAAAGGCAAACCTCTTAGCTCTTTACAAAACTCTGGGGCAACTTGGTTTTGCGTGCGGCCAGCCGGGCACACCACTCATTGATGCAGAATTCCAAACGTTTGCGCAGAACACCTTGGGTGCACTGGCTTCGTTGAGCGACATCTCGGTGTTGAAACGGCTTCTGTTCGAGGCGCATACATTGACCTTAGCGCAGCTGCGGGAAACCGTTACCAACCCGGATGCACCGACGACGCGCAAACTCCCGCCCGTGGAGCGTGAGGCAAAGATGCGTCAGCTGAAGGCAAGGTTGACAGGAGTTGTGATAGAGAGACAACTCGAACCTAGCTACGAACTCCTGGACAGCGTTGTGCAGCAGTGGGAATCAAGGCAACTCAGATATCTGACGCCGGAAAAGTGCTCGAGTAGAGAATTTGAAGTGACAATGTCCAAATCGTCAAGGCAAATCTCTCTGGACGCCGACAAGATGGTTGTGAAGGAGTCGAAGACGACGCCTGACCAGTTCGCAGGCACTGAGATGTTGGTCTTCGAGGCGTTGAGGAGGAGAGGGATTGCTTACGCCTTCGCAGATGTGATCAGCTGGCAGACACACGAACGGTACCTACAGAGCTTGTTCAGTCACCTGAGGAATGACCCTCCGGCTGGCTATAACAAGCCCACACTCCAGCAAGTGCTCAAGGCCGACCGTCAGACCTTCATGAAGTTGATTCAAGATGATGTCCCAGTGAGGCGAGACTCCATGAATGTGTTGGCTCTCGACAATCAGCTGTTGGCGGCGTTGTCCTCCTATGATGTCGGCTTCCATTTGTTGCCGCTGCCCAAGCCCGCCGGCAAGGGCGATCGTGGCTGGCCCAAAGGCCAAGGTGAGAAAGGTGATCATTGGTGGACAAGAGGGCATGCAGATGGTCATCGCGATCAGCCGTACACCAAAGGCAAAGGCAAAGGAAAGAGCAAACACAAGAGCAAGGACAGACCCAACCTGCTTCCCAAGGAGCTGCAGCACAAGGATAATGTCTCGACAGATGTTCATCAGCGCCGGTTGTGTTTCAACTACAATATGGGCAAATGCCAGGACGCACCGGACGGAGGTCAGTGCAACAGGGGCCACCACTTTTGCGTGCGCAAAGGCTGTCACGCCCCACACCCGGTATCGCAACACAATGTAGCTGACAAGGAGTGACTAGGTGGTCACTTCGAACTACTGGCAGCAGAGAGCATAGATGTTTCACAGTGCTTCGTGATTGAGATCTTCGCAGGGACAGCCAGAGTTAGTGCATGTTTAAGGCAGCTTGGCATGGTCAGTTCCTTTGGAGTCGATCACATTCGGCACAGACAGGCATGTGCGCCAGTTTCCATCAGTGACTTGAGCAGCCCAAAGGGCCAAAAGTTGTTTTGGACCTGGCTTCAGAGTAAATATGTTGTAGGAATTTTCTTGGCACCACCTTGCGGAACTGCATCCAGGGCTAGGCAAATCCCTCTAAAGAGAACCCATCAGCAGGCCTTCGGGCCTTCGCCCCTCAGGACGGACGCCTCTCCGAATGGAGTCCAAGGTTTGTCTTGGGTAAACAAATTAAAAGTATCACTTGCAAACGAGTTGTATCACTTCACTGCTCAAGTAGTGCAATGGGCCAGTGATAGGGACATTCCAGTGTGTGTGGAGAATCCTCAGCATTCGTTGTTTTGGGCAACGTCTTTTTGGCAAACAGTCGCTGGTGCCATGCGCTATACAGTCTTGCACACATGCATGTTTGGTAGCCCAAGGCAAAAGAAAACAATGCTTGCTCACAACGCGCCTGAGTTCAACAGCCTCGCAATCACTTGTATGGGCCAGAGCTCATCCCACACGCATCTGCCCTGGGGAATCACCCCCAGGGGCTTTGCGACAGCAGAGGAGACCGCGTACCCGATGCCGCTGGCACGCGCTATTGCCAACTGCTTCGTCTTGATTGCTTGCAATAGAGGCATTCAGCCTCTACCCTCCACACTTCAAGATGTCCAGCCATTGTCTCTTGACGCGCTGCGCGCAATGCGAGCTCAAGCCGGTCAGCAGCCTAGAGCGACCAAGATCCCACCTATTGTGCCCACCTACGCTACTAAAATCCATGTTTCCGGCCTGCCCGATGACCTTCCCCACGCCGTGTTGTTCCACTCCCTGGCACATCCTTTGACTCTCCGTAACCCCATTGGCACCTTAGTCCTGCCGAAAGGTGCCAAGTTAAGTTCGGTCCAACCCAAATCCATCTTTAAAGGGGGTGAAGTCTTTGCGGATTGTAGGTGTGTCCCGATGATAGCTAGGGAAGCCCAACTGGATAACAGTCCTGTTGTCCAGACTTGGGGCATACCATGGACAGAGGCCCAGTTCGTCGAACAAGCAGCGAAGCATGGACACCCCGCCAAACTTGATGCAATGTTGCCATCAGCTTTGAGACAGGCCATAGTTCGTTTTCAGCAATCAACACCAGGCCAAAGGTGTACAGCTAGGGCCAAGAAATTGAGTTTTTGGTGTAGCAGAGCTCGTGAGCTCGTACAGCCAGAACGAGAGTTCAAAGAAGCAATGCCACCTTCGGTCAAAAAGGTTTTGGCTGGAAAAAGAATCCTACTGTGGAAGGAGATGCTGGAGTCAGTTGACTACCCCGACATGGGAGTAGTCAACGAGTTCGCCGCTGGGAGCATGCTCACAGGGGAAACCGAGACGACAGGCCTGTGGCCAGCTAAGTTTGTGCCTGCCCAGATGACCGAGAGTGATTTGTTCGAACTCAGTGCCAGGGATCGACCGGCCCTTTCATCGAAGTCACTTGCGGGCATGGATGATGAAGTTGCTCTAACGGTTTGGGAACAAACATTGCAGGAGGTGGACGACGGTGTGTTGGAAGGCCCTATGCCTCTGCACACTGTTCCTGACCACCTCCCGCTGAGCCGCCGATTCGGGGTCAAGCAGGGATCCAAGATTCGTAACATCGATGATTTTTCCCAGTCAGGTGTGAACGGATGTGCTCAAACGACCGAGAGCCCGAAGCCACATAATCTAGATGTAGTGTCAAGCCTCTGCTTAGCACTCATGAACTCTAAAGTAGCCTCCTCCAGCCCAGAGTGGAAATGTAGGTCTTTTGATCTGAAAGGTGCTTACAGGCAGTGTGCCGTCCACCCATCAGCATCTCGGTTTGCGCACATTGTTGTTAGGAACCCCGGTGATGATACCTTGTCGGCGTTTCGCATGAACGCGCTGCCCTTCGGTAGCGTCAGATCAGTGCACTCCTTCCTTAGGGTGGCGCACAGCATCTGGTACCTCGGAGTTGAACTTTTTGACATCTTGTGGTGTGGGTATTTCGACGACTTCATGGCCTTCGGACTGTCAGAAGAATGTTCATCCGTCACGGACACCATCCACATGTTGTTTGACCTGATCGGATGGAAATTCGCTCGATCCGGTGATAAGGCATCGCCCTTCTCCAGCACCATGAAGGCGCTGGGCGTGATGATAGATGTGTCGAACATGTCATCAGGCCTCGTTCTGTTCGATAACACACCTATGCGCAAGTCGGACCTCATCGAATCGCTCGACAAAGTCATTAAGAAAGGCTCCCTACCGCGACACGAGGCACTCAGACTGCGGGGGCGACTTCAGTTTGCCTCTGGGCAGATCTTTGGCAGAACAGCTAGGTCGTGCTTAGCAGTCTTGACGTCCCATGCCTACAGTCCCGTAAGTAGTAAGCTCTCCAACTCTGCCCTTTCAGCCCTTGAGACCCATCGGCGCTTGTTGAACTCCAACATTCCTCGTAAGATCTCTGCCAGAGCTTCTCGAACTTGGTTTGTGTTCACTGACGCCAGCTATGAGACCACCGACGGTGTGCCTCACTCGGGTCTGGGCGCTGTGCTTTGTGATGAGCAAGGACGGGTATGTAGGTTCATGTCTGAGCGAGTGCCTTCTGACTGCCTCATGTTTTTGAATCCGGCTAAGAAGAAGACGATAATCTTTGAATGTGAGTACGTTGCTGTCTGGTGTGCATTCCACTTGTGGAAACAATTCATTGCTGGGCAGCATATAATCTTATTCATTGATAACAATGCCGTCAGGGACTCACTCATTAGCTGCCAGCATCGCGCACGGCGTAATGTCACGGATCTTAGATTTCGAGCTTAAGGCTAATCTTTTTCCGTGGTACGCCAGAGTACCCACAGAAAGTAACATAGCAGACGGGCCTTCTCGTGATGATTTAGCCCTACTCACACAGCTTGGTGCACAACGTGACACTTGTCAGCTGCGGTCAGTCTTCAGTGGCCTGGGCTTTAAAGGGGGTGACGAAGGCTCAGGCAACTGAAGACCCCAGCTGGAAAAAA